GGTGGAGTCTGCCTGGAAAAAGCTGGGCCCACAGAGGAATGTGCTTTCTACTGGAGATGCCACTCAAGGTCAAGAGACAGAGAGAGAGGGAGAGAGAAATGCCTGGCTCTTCCCTTGTCCAGCACTTCAAGCTCCTAACAGTACCTCTCACTGAGCAAATCCAGGGGAAGTTATAACATAGCAAGGAAGCCTGGGAATGAAGGTGTACCCCTCAACCCCAATCAGAGGGTGAGGGGACTCACCAATTTAGGATAGGCATTTGCCTCTGGAGAGGTAGTCAGGGGAATGTGCACAAAGTGGTCCTAGACTGTATTGGTAAACCCTAATTTCTTTAATTTTTTTTTAAAGGTTTGGAGACAATATGGCAAAATGTTAGCATTTGTATTTTGTTTTTTGTTTTGAGACAGAGTCTCTCTCTGTCACCCAGGCTGGAGTGCAGTGGTGCAAGTCGGGCTCACTGAAACCTTCACCTCCTGGGTTCAAGCAACCCTCCCACCTCAGCCTCTCTAGTAGCTGGGACTACAGGTGCACACCACTACACCTGGCTAACCCTTGTTAATAATATAATGTGGGCGACCAGAGGCTCATTACATTATTTTCTGTACATTTCTATATAGTTGGAATATTTCATAAGAAGCGATTATTATAGGACAAACAGAAATGTTCCAGATTAATGGCAATAGTAAGCATCTTTATTGTATTTCCATGCTACTTCACAAGGAAATGTCACATCTCTCTCAGTGAACAGTAGCATCTTTGTGGAGTTTGCAGGCTGTGCCATTGACTCTTTGGCATGATGGTGTATTGAAGACAAGGTGGGAGAACAAGACAGGGAATGAGTGGAGACAGACAAGGAGGAAAGGTGGCAGGAAAAGTTTCAGGAGGAAGAGGATGACCATTGATCGCTGTGAGCTCTCCCAGAGCCTGCCTGCCTTTAAACTTGGTTCAGTCACTTATTACCTGGGGGGTCTTGTACAAGTTCCTCCTCTCTGCCTCCTAAGGAAAACACTTCACATTGTGTGGGTGCATAGTCCACTGTCAATCCAATTTGGTTACGATCTTTATTTTTTTATTATTAATCTTTACATCCTCAGTGTTGGCAGAGTTCTTGTGCTTAACAAACTTTTTTTCAGATCAGAGAAGTGGAAAAAATTGTCATCTGCTTATTCAAACCATGTTTTTCTGTGATATTCTGATCCTAGTTGCATATACAGAAATACATGTCTAAAACAGCACCTCGATTCTGGTCTACAACAGGATGAAGTTCACTGTGATCTCAGATAAGCTTGGCTAAAATAGGACTTGATGGAGATAGTCACACTTCAGTGAAGAAAGAGAATTCCCTGTGTAATGTCACCAGGAGATTCAACCTCAATATTCTGCATCAAAGGGATAGTCCTCCAAATGAGAGGATCTGCAGAAACAAAAAAACAGAGAAACTGTGTTCCATCAAAGCAACAGCTCTGGTTCAGAAGGTATTCTTCTCTGGTGGACTTTATGGTATTTGTGCTCTCTCAGCCACCTCCCTGCAAGAACACAAGAAGGGTGCTCACACCTTGACCTTCCCTCAATTCGATATCAGGGCTTTGATAGGAAGGAGGACAGACAGTGACCAGGGTATGGGAAACAACTCGGAATGACAATTCATGGTAAGCCTAGTGTCAGGTGAGGCAACTGACAAGTCTTGTCCCAGTCCACTCTCACAACATCATGAGGTAGGAAACACCAGCACAATTGACAGCTTGGGGACTGTTATGAGTATTAAATGAGATAATAGCACCGGCAAAGTGCTCAGGACCCTGGGACATTCTCAGCTAAGGTTCAATGGATGTTAGCTGAGATGAGTATTATCATCCTACTTTACAGGTAAAGAAGCCAACTTGGAAAAACTAGGAAATTTATCCAATGTCGCACAGCTAAGAAACCGGTGTTAGAGTTGGATTTGAGGCCAGGTGGACTTACTCCTGAGCCACCAACCCATTGCCTCCACTGCAAATGATGTTCATTGAAAGGTAAGTGGTTCAGTTTGGGGGAGAGTCCCATTTTATGTTCACCCTTCCTTTTTATACTAAGCAGCAGCTACTTTGTTAAGCACTGATAAAAGTAAGCCATTATAAGATGAAGAAAGCCTGCTGTGATACTAAGGGTGGGCAGGATAGATATGGAATATCATGACATGAAAGCTATGCTTGAGATACTGAAACCATTTTTAAAAGCTGAAAAATCATTTTGGCTATAGAAATATTGGAAGAAATTCAAATTGTCATCGAATTGCAGACCTCACAGTAGTAAATGCCAGATAACTCTCTTTGATATATTTAATTACATCCATTAATCAGAAAGTATTGATTGTATAGAGATGATTTAGGATTCCCACCTAGCCAGAGTTAAAACTTTCTTTCAACCACTTATCTACGATTTAAAGTAAAGTTACCACCATCACCTTTGAGAGGAATTTGGAGATTATTTAATCCAGCCTCCCCGGCCTTCTTGCTTGAATGTTCTAAACACAATCCCACCTCAGACCCTTAGCACCTGCTGTTATCACTGCCAAGAATGCTCTTCCCCCAAATATGCATATGGCATATCTCTCACAGCAAAGCCTCCTTTGACCCACCCCATATAAAGGATCGGTCTCACTATCACCCACCACTTCCTATCCACTTTGCCCTACTTATTTTTCTGTCTAGCATTTCTCACTATCTGACACATATATTTTGATTTGATTTATTTCTGTTCTGCCTTCTTCCCTCCCTCCCTAAGCACATGGAGGCAGCAGCTTTGTACGGTATGATAAAACAAGCATCTAGAAGATGCCTGGCACATAGAGGACCACTAGATATTTATTGAATGCAGGAATAAATGAATGCTTGCCTCCTGTCTATTGACAACACACCTTGTGTTAGAATTCTAGCTCTACATTCAGACAATGAGCAGCAATTAGAGATGTGTCCATCACAGTGATTCCCAGGTACCCCAATTTTAACTTTCAGAACTGCCCCAAAATAGTATTTGAAGACACAAGTAGTCCCAGCAGCCTTCTAGCTCTTCCAACTAACCCTCTACCAGTTTAGAAAAACTCCTGGCAATGCTCCTAGTTAACTCCATGCCACTTACTGCAACATGTTGCAGGCCCTCCAGTTTCTGTTGAAGGTGAGGATGGTTGCCATCTCCTCATCACTCAATTTAAAGTCAAAGACCTGGAAAAATAGGAGTTTCAGTACATCATCAGTAAGGCCGTTACTGCTGTGACTGGAGACTGTCGGTCATTCTAGCAGGGAGTTCTAGCAGCACAAACTGGTCACAGGTGTTTTTCCCATTATGTCCACAGGATACAAATTTTTCTCTAAATTAGGTCCTACACAAAGACCGCAGTATTTGTAGTGCTCAGTGTTCCGGAGGAGGGAGACCAGGTTCACAGGCACTAAGCCCCAGGTGTGCACAGGCCCTGTGCTCCATGATGCGCCCTTCAAGAAGACAGTTCTCCAAGGACAGTTCACACTTCCTCTGGTGCCGGAAGATGAGCAGGGGGGCCAGGACAGTCTGCTCATGTGGTGGTCCAGGGCTTAGCTGCTCAGGGGCAACTGAGGGTCTTCTCAGTGGTGTGAGGCACAGCTGTGCTCAGACCTGACAAGGCTTCAGCAGGCACTATCCCCATCATGTCCTAAGCCCATGGGTGATTCATCTCAGGTATACTGAGCCTAGATCCCTGGGCTGGAAAATGATAGGGTGGTGGGAACGGAGGGGGCAGAAGATGGTGCAAGGATGAGGTAAGAATCCTAGTGACAGGGTCTGTCTGTGTCCCCCTCCCCTGAAGAGTACCAGGGCCGACCAGCCGGGATCTTACCTGAATGTTCTCAACAATGCGTGCCGGTGTCACAGACTTGGGGATCACAATCACATTCCTTTGGATATGGAAACGGATCAGAACCTGTGTGGAAAGGGGACATCATGTTTCCACTCAGCTACAAGGACCCTTCCTTTTATGGAAAGGAAGAATAAAACATCTTCGCAGCTCACTGTGGCTTCAGGTACAATCACTAATATTGACTGAGCCCTTGACAGCTATAGACTTGTGCAAGCCCCCCGCCTCATGTCTCCCTTCACCTTAGGGACAATTCTGTGGTCTTCATTTTTTTAGGAATAAAGAAAGCAGTTTGGGTCATAAGGCTGATCAGAGGTAGAGTTGGCATCTGCACCTATATCCCTAGACTCCAAAGACACGCTTTACAACTTGGCTGTTGGGCTTAACAGGAAGCTGTGAGGCAGAAGCTATCTTTGTTTCAGTGACAGCTCTTGTGTTTCCTGGAGGTTCCCACAGACTTCAAAGGAAACACTATAGATGGCTTCAGCTCCTGTGTTCTTCCCCTTTAAGGAGTTAGTTGAGGACAACACAAGAAATGAAACATGAGACTGGAAGAAACAGTTGTTGGATAACAAGAAAAATAAAAATATGGTACCTGGGCTGCGGTTTTTTTGTGCTTTGCAGCAATCTCCTTAATCTTGGGATCCTCCAGCAGGGAAGGGTCCTCTGGCTTGGCCCTAGAGGCAGAAAGATGCTGATGTGAACAATCACCATGGCTACCATGTACAGATGGACACCATTCCAGTGAGGGTCTCAAGACTGATCATCAGAGCCTCTCCATCTGGGAGACAGGCAGGAGGACCTGGAAGCTTGGGTCCTTCCCCTGGGCTCTGAGTCTCAGCATTTTGCAAAGCCTGGTTCATCCTTGGGTGGTTAAACTGGAAATATTCCCAGAGGGTCAAACACGTCGCCCATGTTTTTGTTGTTGCTGCTGTTGTTGCTTTTTAATTCCCATTTGTTCCCACAGTCATCCCATTTGGTTGTAGCAAACGCATTACCTTACACACGTTTTTCTTTCCAGTGACTTATGGTCTCATACCAATATTTACCAAACATAAAATAATGTTTTTAAGATTATCAAGAGAAGGATCCACTGCTTGGAAGCCTCACCAAGGTCTATCCGGAGAGCCCAGGGGGCTGTAGGCTGTAACGGTGATGCCCTTGGAGTGGCAGTACTGGATCAGTTTCTCCTGCGTGAGGTACGGGTGACACTCAACCTGCAACAGCAAACAATCCGCATCACGGGGAAAGCTGGCTGGCTTTTGAGTTGTTCATAGGGAGTTCTACACAGACACCCAAAGACCACCAAGCAAAGACTACACACCTACCCACTGAGATTCTTGCTAACACACCCATGAGATCAGCCTCACACCTCCCAAAAGTGTCCTGATCACTGACCCCTGAGATGACACTCGGGGCACAGATAGCATTGAACATTCCTCCCAATGTTTAAGATGTAATAGGGCAAGACCTTTATTTACCCTTATACTAAACAGAATTTACCTGGTTAGTCACTGGTTTATATTTCAGTCCAGGTTTGTTCAAGAGCTTCTCGATCTGGAAGTGGTTGAAATTGGAGATGCCAAGGGCTTTCACCAGCCCCTCATCCACCAGCTCCTCCATGGCCTGTCATAGAAAGGAAGACCTTTTGGGCAGCCCCAGAGGGACTACAGGGACCCTGGCTTGCCTTAGTCCTCCCTGGGACAGAAATTGCTAAAGGATCCACCACAACAGCGTTAGCCGAGGCATTCACATGAAATTTCAGTCCAGCGTCTGGGTGCCCATCAGTGATTGGTTCCAGCCCTACTGCCCCTCCCCAGCCCAAGAAAAACTAGGAGTAACAGGTAAAGATTTTATTTTCTTGCCACTCTCACCTTACACGTAAAGAAACACATACAAAATTATACTGCTCTATACAGGGGAAATATGAAGTTTTGTAATACAAAAAATAAAAAATAAATATAAAATCAACATTTGCAAGCTTATGAGATGATTTTATTTTTAATGAATCCAAATGACAGCGGGTAGCTACTGCATTGTACACCCAAACCTGGGCAAGCTGTGTTAGTGAGGAAGAGACTGCAGCATGTGGAGAAGCCTCACTTGTGGGTCCTGAGTCACTTTCTCCCACACCAACCGTGCTTGGGTTTGCAGGAAGGTCTTGTATATAGATTATGCCCTGGCAGGGGCACCTGGGCAAGGGGTTGTGTGGGGCTGAAACCTGACCCACTGTCTGCATATCCAGCCATGCGTCCTGGTACAGAAACTACCCCCAAGGAAGGGAATCTTTGTATAACTTTTAGCCTATATTGGGCATTTTCCAAACTTGCCCAAAGATATCATATATGTTAGCAGCAGCCTCCAATGCAACATGTATTTATTAGCCATCTATTACATGTTCCAGAAGTTGTCAGGATGTAAAAGTATACAATGTGCTTCCTTCTTCTGGGATTCTTACAGTCCAATTAAAGTGCTAGGGTTCCCTTCTATGGAGCCATCAAGCGTGACCCTGAAGCTGCCTCAGATAACATGACCGTGGCATAGACAGAGTCAGAAAGGGCAGAGAAGGAAGAGATTCACACAGTCTGCAGCTGTCAGGGCAGACCTTCAGGTAGAGTTTAAACTGCACCTCAGAAAAAAAAAAAAGAGAGAGAGAGAGAAAACAGGGAAAAAATATAGGCATATGAGACAAGAAGGCAATAGCAAACTCAGAGGCAGGGATGAACATGACATGTTCAGGGAACTCTTTATCTAGCCCTTCTCAACTTTGGCTGCAATTTGGAATCACCAAGGAAGTTTAAAAACTACCAGTGGATGCAGTGGCTTATGACTGTAATCTCAGCACTTTGGAATAGGATTGGAACAGGGGGTTTGGGCCTGGGTTTCAGCAACCTAGGGTAAGTTTTTAACTCTTGTAGGCCTTAGTATTCTCTTCTTAAAAAAAGGTCTTATAATATACATACTAATAATGTATATCTTTCTGATACACATTATCAGAGGCTGAGACATGAGGATTGCTTGAGTTCAGTTGCTCGAGACCATCCTGGGCAACATAGCAAGACTCTGTGTCTACCAGAAAAATTTTTTTTAATTAGCTGGATGTGGTGGCATATGCGTCTGATCCCAGCTACCTGGGAAGATTGCTTGAGCGCAGGAGTCCGAGGCTGCACTGAGCTGTGATCTTGCCATTGTACTGCAGCCTGTGCAACAGAACAAGACTCTCTCTGAATTTAAAAAAAAAAAAAAAAAAAAAAACTAATATCGGTGGCTGGGTTTCACCCCCCAGAGTTTCTTACAGATTTTGTCTGAGTTGTAGCCTAGACATTGGGATTTTTAAACTCCTCAGGTGATTCTAATGTACAGCCACATTGAGAACCACTAGCGTAGATGAAGTTGTTCAAATTGGGCAGTAGAGTTTAGATGCTATGAAAACAAAAGGTTCCCAAAACTTCTGACGGGGCAATTAGATAATACAAAAGCTATTGTACATCATAGGTCAGGTTAGTTTGCCTGTCTTTGAACTTGACTTCTTTATACTTTTTCCTCCCCTCTGCTTCAGGGTGATCAATGAGGTTTCTACTGAACTGGCTGTGGGTCTACAGAAACATCCAGCGCTTTCATATTCAAGCCTGCTCGTTTCAAATCAGAGCCTCTGACCTTGATCACTGATATCTTTTCATGCCTTTCAAATGTTGTATTTAGCAGTCATCTTTGTACTCATTCAGAAAACATAGCATTGTGAGATGCAGGCAACACTGACACACAAGCCACATTAATATCATCATAGAAGCTAAGGCAAACTGATAAAATGTATTGCAAAAGGCCAGGTGCGGTGGCTCACGCATGTAATCAGAGCACTTTGGGAAGCCGAGATGGGTGGAACCCCTGAGGTGAGGAGTTCGAGACCAGTCTGGCTAACATGGTGAAACCCTGTCTCTACTAAAAATACAAAAGTTAGCTGAGCATGGTGGTACGCACATGTAGTCCCAGCTACTCAGGAGGCTAAGGCAGGAGAATGGCTTTAACTCGATAGAGGGATGTTGCAGTGAGCCAAGATGAAGCCACTGTACTCCAGCCTGGGCGACAAAGTGAGACTCTGTCTTTAAAAAAAGAATGTTGTGTTTGTGGATTAATGTTTCTGAACCAACAATACACAGAAAAAGCTACATTTAATTGAATCTTGTCAATTCTAAGCATTTCAGAAAGGTGAGGCTTAATATATTTTCCCTTGTAAAACACAATACAAACTCGCAACTACATGCATCCCTACACAGACAGCTGCCACTATGAC